CTCTGTTCCTGTTGAACTCCTCACGGCTTCCACCCTCAACTTCTGCACCTCTCCTCTCCTCCCCTCTCGCAGCTCCTCTGTTTTTGCTGGACTCCTCTTGTCTTCTGCCCTCACCTTCTGCACCTCTCCTCTCCTCCCCCCTCGCAGCTTCTCTGTTCCTGTTGAACTCCTCACGGCTTCCACCCTCAACTTCTGCACCTCTCCTCTCCTCCCCTCTCGCAGCTCCTCTGTTTTTGCTGGACTCCTCTTGTCTTCTGCCCTCACCTTCTGCACCTCTCCTCTCCTCCCCCCTCGCAGCTTCTCTGTTCCTGTTGAACTCCTCACGGCTTCCACCCTCAACTTCTGCACCTCTCCTCTCCTCCCCTCTCGCAGCTCCTCTGTTTTTGCTGGACTCCTCTTGTCTTCTGCCCTCACCTTCTGCACCTCTCCTCTCCTCCCCTCTCGCAGCTTCTCTGTTCCTGTTGAACTCCTCACGGCTTCCACCCTCAACTTCTGCACCTCTCCTCTCCTCCCCTCTCGCAGCTTCTCTGTTCCTGTTGAACTCCTCACGGCTTCCACCCTCAACTTCTGCACCTCTCCTCTCCTCCCCTCTCGCAGCTTCTCTGTTCCTGTTGAACTCCTCACGGCTTCCACCCTCAACTTCTGCACCTCTCCTCTCCTCCCCTCTCGCAGCTCCTCTGTTCCTGTTGAACTCCTCACGGTTTCCACCCTCAACTTCTGCACCTCTCCTCTCCTCCTCTCTGATCTGAGCAGGTTCTCTTTCTCTCCAGTTACCTTCAATCCCATGGTTAGGGGCCAGCCCTTTCCTCCAGGAACTGGGCTGCATGCGGCGATCTCCACCTCTCCATCCCTTATGGTTCCTCTGCTCAGGCTCTGGATGTTCATGAACTGCTGCAGGCTTTGTGTCTCCTGCATCAGCCTGGTTTTCCCTGTTCTCCTCTTGGTCCTTGGGCTGAGGCTCCTTCATCGATCTCTCAACTCTTGCTTTATTGGGCTGTTTACGTCGGCTAGCTTGATAAGACACTCTTACGTCGGCTTCCACAGTTGTTCTTTCTTTCTTCTCCTCATCCGTGGATCTATTAGAAGTGGGTGAGTTGGGTCGCTCACGGCCACAAGCTCCGTGGTCCCTTCCGGAGCAGTCGTTATCACTTCCAGGTTTTGTCCATCTCTCATTCTGAGCACGATTGTCATTAATGCGCCTACCATCACCGCGTCCTCCTCTTTGTCTTCCTCTACCTCTTATGGGAAGTTCAGGAGGTGGTAATGTATAACTGGCAGGGTTGTCAGACTCATCTTGACCATGCTTAGTCGCATCGGACTGTCTAAAGTGATGATGAGGCCTAACATGTTGAGCCCTCCAGTCCTGAGTGTGGTGCTGCTGCCTGTAACTTCTCCTAGAGTAGGGCTGGTTGGGTTTAGCTTGTGGTACAAACTCGGCAGACTCTGGATTCAACTTCGATGTGTCTAAAAGTGAAGACAAATGGTTGTCAGGATTATTTTCTGCCCTTTGACTTTATTACTGCAGCACTATCTATATACAGCCATGACTGGATTCTTTGCATAAACTGTACGTTCTACACACAGTGACTCAGCTTTTTTGCAACAGGCAGTCACATGGTAAAGATAAGACGTGACCTGCCATTCTCTTTACTGTTAGAAAGTCCGAAATACAATTCATGAATTTACTGACACTCTTTTCGTGCTTTTAATTGGTTACACATTGACAAACTTCCTTCCACTTCGTTCTTATGGACGTGACACGACGTAAAGTGATGATGGCTGGTAAAATATCCTTCTGTAAACGGTCAAATAAATCGCTTAAAGAAGTCACAACACATCTCTTTTTTATTTACGTTAGTTTGATTTTCTCAAATAACTACTTAGATAATATTGCTGAGGTGAGAGGCCGTAACCAACCACACTTCACTACAGCTAGCCGTTTTCAGGCGAGAAGCCATAATTAACCGCTTACCTGTAACGGAGATTTCAGCCATTCAGACGAAACTCAAAACAGTCTCGACGAGATTTCCTCAGAACTGCGGAGAATATTATAATTCAACCGAGAAGCCGATTAGAAGATGAATTGTTTATGAACTACACTGACCGAGTTGGTGCTAGTTGTGCTGAAACTGCTCGTCCAATCAGAGGACAGAGATCGCTGACAGACAGGCACGTGACTGTAGCGTCACAGTAACAACCAGAGCTTTTTTCTCAACGGCTCTGGTAACAACATATTTACATCTCAAAATACATTTTTCACATTTAATAAATGACTTTAAATTACATTTAAATCTCTTGGAAAAAACAAAAAGCACCGAAAACATGTAATGCTCTGAAAGCATTGAAATTTATGTAATTTTCTTCCTTTCTTTTTTTTCTCTGGCAGCTAATGTTAATTTGATCATGTGAATATGTAATACCTCTTGTTCTTTTAGCAATTAATTAATAAAATATATATTTTAAAATTACATCTCAAAATTGTCGATATAAAATGTATTTTATTATTATTTTTATACCAACAATAGCAACAACAATGCTAATAGTATTCCTAGTTATATGTACTATGATACGTATGTAATTTGAATTTGACCTTTATTGAAATTTTTTTCCCTCATACCTTGACAATAAAAATATATATTTCAATGTGCACTTTGACAATTAACATTTACAGAAATACGTTAATCAGGATTAATTCTTCAATAAGATTAGAAACATTGTTTTATGCATTCAATATTTTTCTCATTAATATAAAGACAATAGTCGTACTGAAAATCATACACACTCACTTAATAGGCAAAATAGGCCAGGACAGGATTATGTCATCGAAGATCACATAACCAGCTAAATTTGACTGGTTATGTAGGCTAACCCACCCGTTATAGGACACTTTCACTTGCGGGATAAAGTAATCATGGCTAATTATGAATAGAGCTTTTGTGTTTCACACAAGAAAGAAACTCAACGGTTTGGAACAACTTGGGGGATAGGTCATTTTTGGTTGACCTATCCCTTTAAGAATCATACTATGATTTGAGCTGCTGCACACATTCATTTGGCCAAAACATTTACTTTCACCTAACTGCTGTAAATATTCATACTTCTATACCAACATAATATAGCCTTTAAGAGAGAATAGAGACATTCATTCTAAAGGCCGGATGCATGAAAGGAAATTGTCAGTTTAAACAACTTTATTATTTAATCAAATTGTATAATGTAATCAAATTGACAGTAGTAACACAAGAGTACACAGATTACAGCATTGTGTATTTCACTGTCTCTCAATGTGTGGCACAACATGAAGATTATGATTATCAAAAAATCAGGTCGCTAATATGTTTGTTTCCCCGAATTTTGAGACCAGGCATCACTGCTGAACAGAAAATTAACCTCATTGAAGAAACATTGTTCGAGAATATTTCACACATTAAACATTCACTTCCATCACATTCAGATGTGTCACACACACACACACACATACATACGCATTCAGGTTACATCTGCTGAAAATAATCAGGTCTTCCAGTGAAGAAAGATAATAAAAATAGAATTTAGACCTTGATTTTTGGTGAGACACCCTGTTATGAGGATAAAATTGGAGAAAAATGTAACTCCCTTGCATGCATGCTTAAACACCTAACAGACATGAAAAAAGAAAGAAAGAAAAGAAAACAGAAAAAAACTCTCAGGAACTGTCCCAATGCATAGGTTTGCTGAAATAATCAAACAGAAAACAAAAATATCTACCATTGTCCATTTCATCTGGTTGTACAGTATTAAGGAAATGTTTTACAATTGTTTTATATATATATATATCTTTTTGTGTGTGTGTGTGTGTGTGTGTGTGTGTGTGTGTGTGTGTGTGTGTGTGTGTGTGTGTGTGTGTGTGTGTGTGTGTGATGAGTTCTTTGGTCACAATACTCAAAATGTCTTTTCAGGAGAAATTAATATGTGCCACAATTATTTGCATTTTATAGGGATAAATATTTTAAACCTTCAAACTCGAAATCCATTATTAGTGAACACAATGGAAAATATTATTTAGAACATATTGAATGTTTATCATATAAGGTTGTAATATGCTGTGTTACTCTTTCTGTAGAGTAATAAATCACACTCTTGAAGTCAAAATGAATTCATTTTTGCAGTTCGCAGTTCCACTGCTTGCAATCTATCAAACACAGATGACCTGACAGCAATATGAGAACTCTACTATATCACTATATCAAATATTATAAAACAAATGAATATCTCTGTCTGATTAAGGACTGACAGCTGTCAGTAAACACCACTTGTCTTGTCTTTCAAATTGAAATCAGTATGAGACCTTGATTTCAACCATGGCATGTTTAAGGGATCATTGTGTACCATATTTCAACAAAAACAACAAAAAAATCAAAACAAAGACACACACACACAGTCTCACAAGCGCCTGTCTTGTAAATATGCATTAGTAACATAATATGAGGGAAAAAAATTAACTGGGAAAAAAGCAATATATGTGTGTTAAGTGGATATGTGCAAAAATGTCCTAAATGTTGGAATATGGTTGGATGAAAAAAAAAGTGAATCCATACTGCTGACATATCTGTTCACAGAACATTTTCCAATTATATTCAAACAAGCAACTAAAATCATCCAACATAGTCCAAAACATCTGTTCAAATCAAAGAGATGAAAAAAAAATTAACTGGGAAAAAAGCAATATATGTGTGTTAAGTGGATATGTGCAAAAATGTCCTAAATGTTGGAATATGGTTGGATGAAAAAAAAAAGTGAATCCATACTGCTGACATATCTGTTCACAGAACATTTTCCAATTATATTCAAACAAGCAACTAAAATCATCCAACATAGTCCAAAACATCTGTTCAAATCAAAGAGATGAAGTCATAAAGGAATAGGAAAAAAACATAAAAACCCTACAAAACCCTTTTGAAGATATATAAAGGTCTATATAAGATTTCCAACACATAAACTGAATGAATGTGCTGAATGAATTTCAGAGACTGTCAAGACAAGAACAATTTCTCCGAGAGGCACATCAAATCAGAGGATCAAACAAAACTGCATTCAGTTCAATGATGATTTTGAGGGTGTAAGGTCAAAACCTCATCCTGTACAATCAACAAACAAAAGCTGTTCCTCGCGCCATGTCAGGAGCCGAGCAGAAGCTGCTGGGCCGTTATTCATCCAGCTGATTAACAAACGTTTCCTCTGAATGTGGATTGTTTTGCTTTAAGTGTTGAAAACTAGATCCAAGCATTTGTTTCTGGATGCCTCTTCCGTTCAATCACCACACCCTCACTGTTTCCAGTTTCATCAGTGTTTTGGAGGGTTGGTGGAACTTTATGATTAGAGATGTGTGGATGTGTAGCTAGACATCAAGAAGGTTGCTGGGCTGTGTGTGACTCAAGAAGTCAAAGGTCAAATCTCAGCACTGCTCTGATTCAATAAAGCCTTCTTTTTCTTGACCCATCGGCTCCACCTCTGCGTATGCTGGATGTCCAGAACCTCGACGGAATTTCATCGCTGGCCATTGGCTGGGACGTCTCTGTAAATGTATGAGTTTGATATTAATAAATGATTTTGTTTTAAATGCACTCCCCATCAGAGACAAGACATATATGTTCTACTAGGTGGTTCTAAATGCTTTTACATTTACCTTTTTGCTCAAGCCATCCACAATGCATGACTTTAGAAATACTGATTTAAAGCAACTGTATGTACGTTTTTACCATGAAATGTCAGTTTCAAAATCATTCAGATGGTACACTGACTTCTAATAAGGTGAATGGCTCATGTTACCTTCCTGGAAGTATGTAAGCTTGGCGAGCAGGTATGAAATTCCATCAAAAGGCAACAACAAATACATGTGTACAGCTATCCACTGTAATCATGACATTGATTTATTGAAAGTTGCAGTAATACACAAGACTACATACAGTTGCTTTCATTTGCAATTAAATCTTTGCATCCATTTAATAAGAAATAGTATGTATAAAATGAATTCTTGCTTTTGCAGAACAAAAAATAATTTTAACTAAAATGAATAGAGACAAAAAAGGATACAGCAATACCATAAAAGTGTTTCTCACATTGAATCACAGAAATACTATTTATTCAATTATTTGTTCATGCCATCAGAATGCTTTTTAAGGTGCTGTTTTTTACAACCTTTTTTTGGAGCTTTAAAGCTTCAGTACCCATTCATTGTTAAAATACAGACAAGTGCAGACTTCAGAAATTCATACCAGAGATGAAAGAAGTCATACAATTTTGGATTTCTTTATTTGATCGCCTATTTCTTTAACCTAAACCTCCATACTCCCACCTCAATGAAGAAGAGTCCCGCAGCAGAGCTCGGGTGGTGGTAGATGTAAACGGTCACCAGGACGATAGCCACCATCACGAGCAGAAGCAGGAGCATCCCAAGAATCAGCCCCATGTGCAGGGGGTGAGTTCTGTTCTCTGCTGTGCTTTTTGCTGCAGCTGCTGTAACACACATTATACTGTATTTATAGTTCTGAACACTGATACATTTCAGTTCACTTACACTGTCAGAATACATCAGTCTGTCGCTGGGGCGGATTTAGTGAATTGGGGGCCCCAGGCAAAATATAGGAATGGGGCCCTATACATTTGCACACATTTTCCTAGATCAACCTTGAGGTTCCTTTTTTGTTGTGATGCTTGCTGCTGCACAACTAGCACCATGTACATGTTACAATGGCTTTCTTTCATGTTGTAGACCACGAAATAGAGATAAAGATACAGGTTTTCACAAAAACAAAATGAACGTCAGAAATATAGAATGAGAAAAGTGTGAAAAAATATAGCCTATATTGACTACAGTAGTTATATTTTAACTACAAATTTAAATAAAACTGAAAAAATAATGAAAAGGCAATTATACATTTACACACCTAAGGATTATATCAACCAAAAAAGTAACTGTGTCCTCTACTTGGTTCCTTCTCAAAAATGAGTAAGGGCATTTAAAACAATTATAATCATATAATACACAAGTTTCTCAATATTTAATTACAGCTTCAGATGCATAATATTTTCATCTCCTTCAAGCAGGGTACACAAAAAGCACGTTTAATTCGGATGGTTGTCGTGGTAATAAACACCGTAAACAGCAAACGTTCGCGTGTCAGCGCTTAATGCGCATATCCTATATGAAAAGAATTTTAGAGGGCCCTTGGCTTTTGGGGGCCCAAGGCGGTCGCCTACCTTTGCCTAATGGGTAAGTCCGCCCCTGGTCTGTCTTTGTACACACAACTGCACTGCACCTAACATAACAACTTCAGGAAAATGAATCATGAGTAGAGACTCCCTGTAGTTCTACTTTTAAACAGAAGAGAGCACTGTTTTCACAATAATTTTGCTATTTCTGTCTTTGGGTATTAAGGTTTCCCGTGGCTTGTGTATCTGTCCAACAGGCAGATAAAAAGATTAATGATGGAGGAGAGACAAGGCTGTAAATCTTAATTTTGTATTGTGGACATTTCCAGCTGGCACAGTGAGAAAGATTTACTGTTGTCTGCAGTTCTTGTGTTTTTGCACCACAGCCAGGCCCCTGTAAAAACCTAAGACTGCTGAGCAGACTCAGTGGCAGCTTTTGAGACCAAATCAGTAGCAATACCTCATTCTTTTTCTTACAATGACAGTTATGGATCTACAGATGTCAGTTGGATCTGCTTTATCAATATGTTAAATATATGAACTTAAAATGCACTACTTTCATGTAGTAACATCTATTCTAAACAAACTACTTTTGGGTAAAAAATATTTAAAATACGCAAGCCAATTAATCTGACTCCAATAGGTTAAATGAAACTTACAAAAAACTTTTCAACTATCCCAACTACATTGGACACCACTAACTTCCATTGAATGGAGGAAAAAAGGCATTTTTCTTTACTTAATCTTTGATTTTATATCTCTGTGGCTCCATGATCAATGAAAACATCCATCTCTGCACATATCTTGACAGGGTGTCATTGATTTTCTTTTCTGCCAGATTACTTTACACTACATTATTTTATTTAATTACAGCACCCAGGTGGCTCACACACGGCTCCTTACAGAACGATTATAATAGCACTTCATTCTGCAACAGCACTGCTGTGTTTCTCTGCAGATGTGTACACATTAACACAACCATAGAGTTGCAGTATTTGTTATCTGCATATTGCAGTAATGGGCAGTGTACATCGAATCTAAAAAAAAAAAAAAACTTTTTTACTGTTCTATGCCTATGACCAAGACTGTACACAACAAATGGACATAATTCTAAAATATAAGTATGTTATGTTATAAATGTTACTGCTATAATGCTGAATAACTGCAATGTTTTGTCAAAATGTTTGCTAATTTCTGTCCAGAAATATCTGAAAAATGAATGTAAAAGTGAAAATCCATTTTCTCTATAAAAAAAAGCCAAATAAAATGTGTATTATACAGATCTTTAGCCATAAGGCGAAATGATTGACAGACGTTACAGGGCAGAACTAATCATGAGGCAGGGTTTCTGTTGTTAGTCATTACAGCCAAAAGTGCCCATGACCACTTAAGCATGGGAAGTCATTTATTTTCAATAAGAGGGAGACTGAAGCTTGGCAGCCAAAGACAGCCTGGCTTGATGACTGTCATACTGAAACAAAATACAGAAAACTGTGACCAGACAGTGTGCTGTGAAACAACACTTCTGGGTTCCACAAATGTTTTGTTACTTACCAGCTATCACAGTTTACCTGATGCCTTCAAATACCTTTCTAGATTTCAGTGCAATTGAATAATACTGTGACATTTTTGTTTGGCGCCAGTAAAACTAATGGCGACATTTGGTTGAAATCGGTCATTAATCAAATGCACTAGTTAAATTTGGCAGCACTAGTTAAGCCAAATAAAATGTGTATTATACAGATCTTTAGCCAAAAGGCGAAATGATTGACAGACGTTACAGGGCAGAACTAATCATGAGGCAGGGTTTCTGTTGTTAGTCATTACAGTCAAAAGTGCCCATGACCACTTAAGCATGGGAAGTCATTTATTTTCAATAAGAGGGAGACTGAAGCTTGGCAGCCAAAGACAGCCTGGCTTGATGACTGTCATACTGAAACAAAATACAGAAAACTGTGACCAGACAGTGTGCTGTGAAACAACACTTCTGGGTTCCACAAATGTTTTGTTACTTACCAGCTATCACAGTTTACCTGATGCCTTCAAATACCTTTCTAGATTTCAGTGCAATTGAATAATACTGTGACATTTTTGTTTGGCGCCAGTAAAACTAATGGCGACATTTGGTTGAAATCGGTCATTAATCAAATGCACTAGTTAAATTTGGCAGCACTAGTTAAATTAGAAGTTGGCTGCACCAGTTAAATTGGCGCAGACCCCAAGTTACCTCATGAAAACATTTCTAAAGAAAAATCAAAACACATTTTTTTGGGTTTAGCATGTTATTTTTTCATTCTATAGCAGACACTGCAGAGTCTGGCTATTGTAGATTATAGAGGGAACATTACGTCTGGTGTGCTGGAGAAGTCATGATGTCATGAAAGACTGAAATATGTACACAGACAGCTGCCAACAGACATGTCCTCAATCAAATAAAAAGTCATATTTCTTTCTTTATTGTATCAAAATGGCCTTGCAAAATCAGGCTTGTATATTACTTCTGACAGGGTGTGAACTCAATACAGATGGTTCATTTGATGTGAAAAGCAGGAAAGCTTAGCACGATTTGCCACCAGAAACAAATACAGGCAAACAAAAATGTTTTTATTCTGTGTTTGTTTCATTAGGGTGGTTTAGATTTTTTACTTTTAATAGGTTTTCCTTTTAATTAATATAATTCTGTATTATATATTCACCTTAAATAGTCCATTGCTAATACACCTGCATCTTTTTAATTAGTTTTAGTCAGGAAATATAACATTCATATTATTCTGCTTAAGGTTAGATAGCGCTTTCTTCTTGCTACATGTTTCCATTGGCTGCATGTGCTGTTTTCTGCTTTACTGATGAAATGTTGAAAGCCCTGACTGCCGTTTCCGACTGGTAAAGAAATATTGAGCTTGCTCCAAATCAAAAACACATGACCTGGATCTTAATAACAGAATTCTGGGAATTCAGAGGGGGGAAGACGAAAGAGAGTGAGGGAAAGAGAGAATATATACTGTATAAAGAGAGCAAGAGAGAGAGACTGTGTGTGATAAGCAGAGAGAGTAGAAGAAGAGAAGAAAAAGGCATGATACAAAAATCTGCTGTTGGACAGGAAATGAACTGGCACAAAACACTGCTGCATGGAAAATATATTTAGTCAAAAATGTTGTACTTGCTGCCACATATATACACACATAACCAGACAAGTCAGTCACAAACACACAAGTATGACCCTATTTGGGCATAAGCAGGAAAAGGGACTGTTATTTATCAGAAAAGTGAGATCAGAGTGATGTCTGATAGTTCACAGTCACACTTTGCACTGCAGCAATGCTAAGATCTTACCTCCATTGTCTTTGAGATGTAGCGCAATCTTGGTGTCATCTATAAAAATAGATGAGTAATGAAATAGAAGGAGGGAGAGAAAAAGGGAGTAAATATTAAATACACTCTGAAATACGTCATACACTCTGAAAAACACCCCCATCTCATCAACAGCTGTAAATAGGTCGCACATGTGTGTGATGAGCTCTTCAAGGAGATTAGAAAATATGTCTGTGATTGGAGAGCAAGTTTCGGATTTGTAATGAATTTTTAATGAGCAATCCACGCCAAGATTCTTGAATATGCTTTCTAGTGAGCTGAAGAGCTCCTGTCTGAGACAGACAGGTCAACATCTGCTACAGGCAATTCTGCTGAGAACTGAATGAAGTAGCACAATAACAGCTGATGCTGCTGTAGTATCCACTGAAGCCAGTAGGGTTATAGCAAGATATGAAGTTTCTCATGTTACATGCTTTCATTCTCACATTACATCGGGCTTAGAGATGAAGAGAAGAATGTTTGTTATTTCGAGATGACTGTAATAATCAAATTCACTCTGATAAAAATGTTAACATAAAACATGCTTTGTGCTTATTTTATTTAAGTCAAACCTCACTGAATAAACTTGGACACAAAGTTATGCCAACAAAATTACATTTGAGGTTCTTTAATATTTAAGGGAGGATAAAAGTTTTCATGTTGTTTCAAACCTGTATGGTTTACTTTCTTCTGTGGAACACTGAAGATTTTTGTCCATACAATGGAAGTCAATGGTCACCAAAGCAGTTTGGTTAACAACATTCTTCAAAATATCCAAAAATATCTTCAAAATATCTTTTGTGTTTAGAAGAAAGTCATACAGATTTTGAACAACATGAGGGTGAGTGAATGATGACAGAATTATTATATTTGGCGGAACTGTGACAAACGCAAGTTTCCAATTTTATAGTGCACAGCAGAATTGCCGTTTTATAGTAAATGTACTTTAAATGTACATAAATGTCTTGATTGTTCGATATGGATCTGTCAGCATTTAATTCTGTTGTCATAATAACATAACATTAATGAAACAACCAATCAGTAATGAATGAGGGATGAAGGAAAGAGAGTGTAAACAAGAGATACATGCCTTTTCAATGACCTCATAAATCATTGCCTTATTGAGCATTCTGAGAAACTGCAGTTAATCATGCAGTTTCATGCAGTTAATCACTTTAAGTGGACTCCTGGCAACCCTGAGACTAACATAATTTTTTGTAGCTAGAGCCTTTCCTGCCTGTAAAAACAAAGAGTGGTGGTGCCACTGACTCACATTAAAAGTCAGCAAGTATTCACAGCTAGCCAGCCTTTCGTTTTTAAACATGACAGAAACAAATACTAACATCATCATCTATAAAAGACCAAAACATTTCTCAAAAGAGAAATTACAGGAATTTTCGCCTTGTTAGGACACAAGTGTTACACTGACAGCAGAACTCCTGCAATAATAAGCAAGTAATAATTAGACTTCTTCTTTACTAATAAGACTAATAAGTAGGAATACAATGAAATAAGAAGCTTAATTTCTTGTTCTGAAATTTGGGTAAAACTACTGCTCCTCTAGAGTGTATTCATAATTCACAGACGAGATTTATAATTTATGCTGTGTGGTTTACTATCTGATAAAGTGTTTGCGCAAATCACAAAGAAAAACAGAGCAAAGCACACAACATGAGGTTGAAGTTAAACAATAGTTAAGTGGTATGTGGTGTATTTTACAGTGTATTTACTGTAAGTGTCAGTGATTATTTAAGGAAGATTCTTGAGTGATGAGCATGATTATCTATTGAACCCCATTTATGAGCAAACCCCTTCAGCTACATTCTGAATGTTCTTTAATACAGAACGTTTCTTCTCCAGAAATGGATTTTCCCCAGACTCATAAAGCACAAATAAGCCTTTCTTGTTCCGTGTCTATTGATTTATGTAGAATCCATTTGTGCCCTCTTAACATTATCCTGCTGCATTCTTACAAGGAGCAGTCACTTGTAACTAATGGTTTAGATCAATGACCCGTTGGTTTCCTGTCGTCAAAGGATTGTAACATGAGTTTCATGTTCCATATTTCAATCTAAATGGTATGTGTGTTCGTTCAGGTATGACAGTACCTTCTGTTGGTATGCTGGTGGGCATGTGTGATGGAGCTTGGGTAGATTGACCCTCAGTAGTTCCTCTGTTTCTTGTGGTCTTCTTAGCAGCTGATGCAGTGGTCAGCAGATTGAGATTGGTAGTATTGATGATGTCACAGGTGTTATCCTTAGTCTGCGAATGAAAGACGGGTGAAGACAGGTGATCTGAGATATGCTGGATATGTTGGTTAGCATTCAGGCATACATTTTGGTACTGTAACATTAAATATGGCAATATTTTATTATCTAAAACTATAGGGCTTCATCATATTAATTTAGTGCAGTTAATTAATAAAAATAAAATAATATGCTAAACACACACATTTCACAGCCCTTTACTCAAATTCCATAAGGAAAATAACAGCCAAAGATGCCAGTCTGTACATATAGTAAACCAACATTAAAAAAACATCTTGTGCAAATAAAGAAAGAACGAAAGCGTTTAGTCAAAAACTTAAAATACATCATCATACATGTTACTAATTACTAATGGCCTTGTACAAGGTGGAAAGAAAAGGATAAAAAGGGAGAGAGAGAGAGTATAGCATATCCTTTTTTCTCTGGAAACTGCAGATGAGTTCGTCTATCATGTAGGCACAGAGATTTAGGATAAAACATACTCAAACATCCACGTACACACCTCATCTGGGCAACTGTTATCTACCCAGTCCTGCCGATGGCGATCAAATCCACTGGAACATCTGTCAATAAAAATTATAGCAGTCATTAGTATTTTAAAGACAGCCAATAAACACACAAACATGATCTCCATCTTTTATAGGTCTCTGACTGGTGCAGAAAAATCCTTTGAAATCTTTAACTCTTCTGAGAAACACTGTAAGTGTGTGTTCCACAAAAAAAAAAGTCTTATGGGTTTAAAACAACATAAAGGGCGAGTAAATTGTGAAATGAATTTTCATTTACGAGTCTTCCAAGAAACTTCCATTAAGAATGCTCTATTCACTGTGGTCCAGAACAGGAAATTCAAAACGGTGAAATCTACAGAGGACTGTCTACAGCAGTATATCACTAATAGATGCTGGCTTATAGAGTCAGGACTAGGCAGTACAGCTTGTATTTCTTTTCCTCCTCCCCAGCCTTCATTTTTTTCTTGCACGCAGAATGGAGCACAATGGCCTCGCCTGCCTGGCATTCCTGATGTCTGCTGAGATACAGTCACCCTTACTCCACATCCTTCAGCAACTCTACATTCTCCATTCATCTTTCGTGATATATTATCTCTTTTCAGTTTACTACAATTCACCATACACACACCTTGTTTCTCTCTGATATTTTGGGGTCAGAAGAGAAGATGCACATTTGCCGCCCAGTCCCTTCACAGGTGGTAAACAAACCAGTTGTTTTTATGTGTATGTGTGTTTTTGTGAGATTTTTATTTCGCTTGTCAGAGCCCGTTACATTTAAACAAAAATCAAAAGGATGCTATTCCTTTTTGTGGTTGAAAAACAAATCATTTTATACAAGATTTGATATAAATGGACAACACTATTAAATAAACATGGGAGAAATACTTTCATTTATGCAAAAAGATAATATAAACCGACAGTTTATGGAAATTGTGTGTCTTAGATCAGCATTTTTTCAATGTGTTTTCTTTCTTTCGTTTCTTTTTTTCTTGTAATAGCGTGTGTGAGCGTCAGCATCAGCAAACACAAGACACTGCTCTATACACACGATGTGCTCTTGGGAAAGAAGCACCTTGACCAGTGGTGGCAGGGGGCACTATAGTGTGCATCAGACTGCCTAAATGAAAGCTTTGGATTAGAGATTTCATGACCCACGGACAGGAAGAGCTCTGCTAAGAGCAGCTACTGACTGAAACTCTCTCTGTCTCTCTCTCTCTCACACACACACACACACACACACACACACACACACACACCAGCCTCTATAGGCCAAAGATTTGCCACAGAACACAGCCGTTGGCGTTTTGAGGCATTTCATTTCTACTTCACAATTTTGTTGCTCTTTTGTAGTAGCAGCAATTTTTTAATAGTTTATGTTTTCACACGTTTTTATTTAGCTACACTTTTATCCAAAGCAACTTGTTAATGAATAATACAAATAATAATAATAATAATAATGCTGGTGAGTAGGAGTGCACAGTATATTAGTATCATACTGTCAGGGTCTGGCGTCTGGTGTTCTCCCTCTCACCACCAGAGGTCGCCACTTCCCATCCTCCCGGACTCCGTTACCTTGACTCCACACACCTGTGCACACACTCACTCACACACAGCTGTTGCCCATCCTGAGGGCTATTTATACGCCTTCCCCACGCCTCTCTGGGCGGATTATTAGTTGTTGTACGAGTTGTGATATGTGGACTGATGCAAGCTCTACGTGGCCATATTGCATCAGATTCCCTTCCTTGTCTCAAGCCTGTGTGTGTCAGAGTCTTAGCTCTGTTTGTTTTCTGTTTTGGTTTTTACCTTTGTTTTTCCCTGCTGTTGAATAAAACCTGCACTTGGACCCAGACCCCTGTTTACACGGTGTGTTTCTGTACCGCGCCGTGACAGAATAATCCGCCAAGCATGGGTCCAGCAGGAAGGTTCCTCAATGTCCACCAGGGAGACCGGTGCATTGAGGATTATGCCAGTGACTTCGTGGGAGTGGTTCGCCAGTCGGCGACGGAGAGGACCTGCTCAATGGTCAGTTCCCCCGAGGCGGCGGTGTCCGCTCACGATCCTCCCGAGGCGGCGGAGCCCGCTCACGATGTTCTCGAAGCGGCGGTGCCCGCCCACGATCCTCCCGAGGCGGCGGTGCCCGCCCACGAGGCTCCAGAGGCGGCGGTGCCCGGCCACGATCCTCCCGAGGCGGCGGTGCCCGCCCACGATCCTCCCGAGACGGCGGTGCCCGCCCACGAGGCTCCAGAGGCGGCGGTGCCCGCCCACGAGGCTCCAGAGGCGGCGGTGCCCGCCCACGAGGCTCCAGAGGCGGCGGTGTCCGCCCACGAAGCTCCAGAGGCGGCGGAGTCCGCTCGCAGTTCCCCCGAGGCGGCGGTGACCGCTCACAAAGCTCCAGAGGCGGCGGCGTCCGCTCATGATGTTCTGGAAGTGGCGGTGCCCGCTCATGATGTTCTCGAAGCGGCGGTGCCCGCTCACAAGGCTCCAGAAGCGGTGGTGTCCACTCGCAGTGCCCCCGAGGCAGCGGTGTCTGCTCAATGTTCCCTCAAGGCGGCGGGGCCCGCTCGCAGTTCCCCCGGGGCGGCGGTGTCCGCTCACGATCCTCCCGAGGCGACGGTGCCTGCTCGCAGTTTCCCCGAGGCGGCGGTGTCCGCTCACAAAGCTCCGGAAGTGGCGGTGGCCGCTCTCAGTGCCCCCGAGGCGGCGGCTTCCGCTCTCAGTGCCCCCGAGGCGGCGGCTTCCACTCTCAGTGCCCCTGAGGCGGCGGTGTCCGCTCACAAGGCTCCGGAAGCGGCAGTGTCCGCTCACAAGGTTCCGGAAGCGGCGGTGTCCGCTCACAAGGCTCCGGAAGCGGCGGTGTCCGCTCGGGGCGGCGGTGTCCGCTCGCAGTTCCCCCGAGGCGGCGGTGTCCGCTCGCAGTTCCCCCGAGGCGGCGGTGTCTGCTCACAAAGCTCCGGAAGTGGCGGTGGCCTCTCTCAGTGCCCCCGAGGCGGCGGCTTCCGCTCTCAGTGCCCCCGAGCTCGCAGTTCCCCCGAGGCGGTGGAACTCGCCTCCGTTTTTTTTCTGCGGCACATTTCTCAATATTAAGTTTAAAATATGACCTGCCCAACTCAGTCCGAGCAGCTGAGTCCTTAGCCATCTTTGCTCACAAGGCTCCGGAAGCGGCGGTGTCCGCTCACAAGTCTCCAGAAGCGGCGGTGTCCGCTCACAAGGCTCCGGAAGCGGCGGTGTCCGGTCTACATCACTATCTGGGAAGATTTGCATAAAGCCGCCTAAATGTTCATGCAAAGAAAGAAGGTGTAATTTTTATTCTCACTGTTGCTGCCTCCACCATGTCGTGGAGACGCTGTGTGTTTAGTTGTGAAAGCGAAACTTCTTTTGTTTGGCCTTCCAAAAGAGGACACGACTAGAAATCAGTGGTTAAGTTGTATTTACAACACTGTTCCAGAACAGTTCAACCCAAATATTCAGATGTGTGAAGCACATTTTATGGAGGACGGTTTCCTGATCCTGGAAAAGTAGACTACAATGCCGGCTGTTCTGACTCACAGACTGTAAATACGTTTTCATATTTAAAGAATTTGCCACTGTTGATTCAAACACGAGTTTTGAGCAGTGTAGAATAGCGCTTGTTGTTTGTAATTTCTCCAATCACAAATACGTGTACTGCATTAAGCTAACTGAGACTTGTTATAGCACTTGCTTATCATTAATCTTTTGTTGATTTTGATTGCTTCCATTGTTCTCATTTGTAAATCGCTTTGGATAAAAGCATCTGCTAAATGTCTAAATGTAAATGTAAAATTTGTTTTAACGTCACTATTGATGAGGATTGTATGATCTTTGAATAATATCGGTCTTTAAATGTGAGATATTTAACGTGTACCTGAAGTATACTCGCCATAGTTCCACTTTAGTACAATCAAATATATTTCAGTATATCTTTAGTTGGACTTCAGCACTACTTTCTCACAATTAAAGTGCATTAAGTACAAAATTTGTTGTTCCAATTCAGCAGACTTTAAGTATACCAGTTTAGTATACCAAAAGTACAATTGCAGGGTATTTTTATTAAGCGCATAAATAGGTAAATGTATTTTTAATATACTTCGTATGAAATAAATTTATTTTAAATACATTTTAGTATATTTATTTTCCACTAGGGTAGATTAAATGCCATGACATGAAAATAATTATCCACTTCAGGCCAATAATGTATCAGTGAACCCCTACTAGGGAGAAAGTAACATGACATGTGACCCAAAAGTGCCCAAAGTTCAAAACGTACAAACTAGATTTCAAATTATTTAATTATTCAGTGAACAAATTTGATTTTGTGTAATTTACTTTCGTAGATTTGTCATGGTCATTGTGTCTATCTTTCATTTTCTCTCCCAAGCAGTTACCCCAAGCACTGATGAACCATACAAGGAAGACAAGTAAAACTGAAATATATGTCTGTAGATTTGAGGTTGCCTATGGCAGTGGTCACATTCTTCGTCAGCACTTCTCCAACCTTTCATAATCTCATTTACATGTTAATGGCTGCAAATGCAGTCAGCTCAAACTTATTCTGATCCAGTAATAATCTGACCTTCAGGGTGAAAGAATGCTTTTCCAAATATGCAAATCTAGGTTTTTGATGCACATAATCATTACTAATAAACTCATATGTTAAAGTAATTTCATTACTTCAGAGTAATGACATATGAAGGATATTAAGTGCAACACTTTGCTACAGTATTACGGTCTTCTGTTCAGTTACAGCTTGTTTTTGTGTATGTGTCAACTGCATCAGACCAGCTCTCTCCAAAGACAAGGGCTAAATTGATGATAAATTGCATTGGGAGGAGCAGACTGTCAGTTATTAGCTTAAGTCAACTGAGTTACCTGCATTTACTGTTTCATTAGTCTGCTCTTTTACGCTCTCCCTCTCTCACACACAAACACACAGCCTTAATCAAGCCAAAAAAAAAACTGACTTTAATTACTGCAGTAATTTTTAACTCTATATTGTTTCCATAACCTCCAGCCAAACAAAAATGGTTATGCATACTGATGAAGTCTGAATATAAGTCCCTTGTTTACCAGGAGATGATTCAATACTCAGTGCTCTGATTTAATTATACAATCCAGCAGGTTTGAAAATGCATCAGCACAGAATCAATCCCGAATAGAACAATGAACGGGATTTCCATATAACTTGATAAAAACTCTAATATAAAATCTGACATTGCAGATAAAGAGGTACAACAAAATAAGGCTCTATTAGGTACATCACATAATTTTTCTATAGTTCTATTAGCAAGACTGTTTGTGTGTGCATGTATATTGTGTGTGTCCATTGGCTTACTGGATAGTGGCATCATTTCTACAGCTGTACTGCTTGTAATTTTGGTCTTTAACAGCTCCACTCTGTGATACTCATATATAGTCTTCCTCCGCACATCTAGAGCCAAACAAACACATTACATTCACCATGTGAAGCATTTGGGTTGTTGAAACTTCTGTAGCACAAGCAAATAGAGAGAGAGTAACAGCATTTTTCTGTAAAGTTCTGTCTTCTCATGTACGTTACCTCTTAATTGCCATTTTGAATACATTTACAGTACTTTTAACTTGTTTAATTCACCTTTTTTAAAATTGTTTTGGCATTTTTAACTTGAATGTTAAAGGCTTCTGTCATAATCCAGTTATTTTAGTGTAATGTTTGTTTATTTATTTATATAACCTGGAAAATGTGTCAACATTAATTGTAACTAGAACATGAATTTATAGTAGATTAAAAAAGTGAACACCACTGCACGATACTGCCACAAGTATTTCATATTGTATTATTGTAGTTTATTATCGTAATCATGAACACTGGTTTGTAGTGCAACTAGTTTTGTTATTTACTGCACTTTGTTATTCTTATAATTATTTACCAGGAGCAACAAATGAATCTGAAGTCTCCTTCATTCATATTAAATAGCTTACTTCCACATTGAAAAATTTTTAAAATTATCGTTATCCACAATTGTGAAATTGTCCTAATATGAAGGCATGAATTCACATATCTGTCATTCCACAAATACATGATAAATCATGGGAATCCATTACCAAATGACCAAAAAAAGAACTAGTACAGTTGTATGTGCTCAGTAAAGATCTGTATCTAGGCTGAAACTGACAAAACTCGCATCGGGTCACTGTGTGAGAACTTAAGAGTGTACTGATTTCATGCAAAGTTACTGAACACTCTTCCCTAGCATTGGGATGCATGATTCACTGTAATGACACAGCTGTGAATACAGTATATTTCACTGAAATAACTATTCACATTGTTTCCAGTGCTAACAGGAGAGAATGCTTAATACACTCTCTAACAGAAGCTCTTATCCAATATACTGTTAAACATAAAAACAAAAAAGACCTGTGTGTGTTTACTAAACTAATTAAGTCAACTAAAAAGATTGCTCTCTTTGGTATCTCTTACCCAATAAAATGTTACATTTAAAATAGAATGAAAAAAGAACTACACTGCTAAAGGCTATCACACAGCACCGACAGATCAGACAAATACCGATTCAACATGTTAAATCATGCACTGACCAATGGCAACAGAAACCGATGGAGTAACACACTCAGACAAAACCCGACGAACATGTCAGTTGCAGTTTGTTGGCTTCTGTTGGTGCAGTGTGAATTGACCTTAAGTGAACTATACATTGGTTATGCAGTACTCATACTCAGTCTCTAATGCCATGAATCCCTACGACTCCCTTGAAGACAGAATGGACTTTTCATAATTTAAACGTATTGGTTGATCAACCTACATCTGAAAGTAATTCAGTATATAATAGTCTTTGAGTTAAAGTTAAGCCCCCCCATCATCGACACACGCTGGATCAAATGCATGTACACGCATACATGGATATAACGGCACATATACAGTGGGTATGAAAAGTATTCAGACCCCCTTAAATTTTTCACTCTTTGTTATATGAAAAGACATTTTGAGTATTGTGACCAAAGAACTGTCATCACACACACACACACACACACACACACACACAAAAATGTCAACAATTCTGTGTTTTTCTGTCAATATGGGGTGCTGTGTGTACATTAATGAGGAAAAAAAATTAACTTAAATGATTTTAGTAAATGGCTGCAATATAACAAAGAATGAAAAATTTAAGGGGGTCTGAATACTTTCCGTACCCACTGTAGATGCATCTAGTAATACATCATCTACGTGACTGGTAGCTGAATTACCTAAATGCAGTGAAATGGAAAATTGAATTAGAATGAAGAGAGGATGGGTACTGTAGCAAGATTTCTATATGTGTATGCGTGCGTGTAGGTTTGATTAAACTAGATATAAAGAATTAATTTAGAAAATCTCTCTGCAAATTTAGTGAAACGTAAAAAACCCAAAATTTTCAGTGGTTCTTGATATGTAAAAGGCTCATAAATCATGCAAATCACATTTTGTTTAAGTTTATTGGTGTCTAAAGGTTTGTGTAAAGAGTTGGGGTCACCTCTGTATAAAAACACTGTCCTTTTTAATAGAATGAAACCAATGTGTGTGTGTATATGGCTTTTCATGTGTTGCCTCTCTGGATGAATGTGTACAGCAGGGGACAATCTCTCTGATAAAGTGAATGTGTATGTGTGCAGCTGAGGAAGTAACTGTCTGACCTTGCCGAAACCTACATCGTTGGAGTATTAATACATAAAAGAGCTGCTAAACTTTAAGACAGGAAATTGTAGCTTGTTCAGTACAGGCTGTTTTTCTCTTCCTGTGGGTAATTACATTTCTTGCCCATGGGGTGTCACAAAATTCCTTCGTAGCATGCTGATAATGCCTGGAGATATGCATGTGTGTGCTTATGCATCTTAAACAGTGTCACCTGATGAGTCTCCAGACACTAATTAGTGAAAGAGAGGCACTCTCAATCACTCTATCTCATTCTCCACTCTCTCCTTCCCCTCAGAGCTGTCTCTCTCTTTCTCATATTGTAACAGACAGAGTGATGCAAATCCTGCCCTTTCACAGCAGACAGTCCCAAACAAACACAGACACACATGCTCTGAGAGAATAAGCTGTCATGGAAAATCATGAGCCTCCATTCATGATGTCCTGACAGCAAACACATCTTCTCCTCCTGTTCTCTCCTACACTCACTCGCTGCCCAACTCCAGACATATTTATCTGCTAAATTTGTTACTCCAGCGCAGCCGGGTTTGGTCCTGCTGGGCTCACTGTTACTACGACACACCAGACAACAAACAGACAGCTAGAGATGGGAAGAGGATGGAGCTTTGAGATCATCCCTGAAGTAATCAACTGTCAGAACAAACATACTCCCAGTTTTCTGATGGGCTGAATTGCACCTGTCAAATTTAGTCATCAACTCAAATCTCCAAAAATACACACACACTTGGAATACAGAATGCAGATGGTTTACTGGTGTTACGTGTCTCGTTGACTCACTGGGGATCTGCTGAATCTTATGGACCACCACAAAGGCATCAGACAGTCCAACCTTCACTGGATGATTGACAGAGCTGATCTTTGCAATCTGCACTGGGACCTGAAATAAAAGCACATACTAGTAAACTCCTCGACCTGAGGAGGTGAGGTTAGACGGCAAGTTAGACAGCTAGAAGGAAAGCGAGAAAGCAAAAAAGGAAGACAAGAAAGCAAGCAAGATGGAAAGAGAAAGAAAGAAAGAAAGAAAGAAAGAAAGAAAGAAAGAAAGAAAGAAAGAAAGAAAGAAAGAAGATATAGAGTGAGCAGAGACATGGGGAGAGGGAGAAGCCTAATTCAGTTAGGAAGTTTGTGGGCTGAATATGCTTTGCAATAATCAAATAAATCTCAACAGCATTTACAAGAATGTTTTCTGACTAGAGGGTTACAATAATTTTTTTTATATACTTCCTTCTACAATGTTACATTTTATTTGTTTTTATTTTGCATAACACCATATAGTGTGTACGCGTATACTGTATATATATATATATATATATATATATATATATATATATATATAATAATTTATATTTAAATAATATATGCATATAATATAAAACATAATATATATATATAAAGTTAAATATAATAGATTTATTTGATGATTAAAATGGATTTCATGCATTTCAAGTATGTCACATTTGACTGCACATGATTTGCAAGGTTTGTGGGCTAAATATGCTTTGCAATAATCAAATAAATCTCTACAGCATTTACAAGAATGTCGTCTGACTACAGGGTTACAATATTTGTTATATATAAATATGATATAAATATTATACATGTATATATTTATATAATATAAAACATAATACATAAAAATGTACAACCCGAATTCCGGAAATGTGACGTTTTTTAAATTTGAATAAAATTAAAACTAAAAGACTTTCAAATCACATGAGCCAATATTTTATTCACAATAGAACACAGAGAACATAACAAATGTATAAACTGAGAAATTTTACACTTTTATCCACTAAATGAGCTCATTTCAAATTTGATGCCTGCTACAGGTCTCAAAAAAGTTGGTACGGGGGCTAAAAAAGGGCTGAAAAAGCAAAACATTTTGAAAAGATTCAGCTGGGAGAACATCTAGCAACTCATTAAGTTAATTGACATCAGGTCTGTAACATGATTAGCTATAAAAGGGATGTCTTAGAGAGTCTCTCTCTCAAAAGTAAAGTTGGGCAGAGGCTCTCCAATCTGTGAAAGAGCGCGTAAAAAGATTGTGGAATACTTTAAAAACAACGTTCCTCAACATCAAATTGCAAAGGCTTTGCAAATTTCATCATCTACAGTGCATAACATCAAAAGATTCAGAGAAACTGGAGAAATCTCTGTGCGAAAGGGACAAGGCCGAAGATCTTTGTTGGATGCCCGTGGTCTTCGGGCACTCAGACGACACTGCATCACTCATCGGCATGATTCTGTCATTGACATTACTAAATGGGCCCAGGAATACTTCCAGAAACCGATGTCGGTACACACAATCCACCGTGCCATCTGCAGATGCTAACTAAAGCTCTATCATGCAAAAAGGAAGCCATATGTGAACATGGTCCAGAAGCACCGTCATGTCCTGTGGGCCAAGGCTGATTTAAAATGGTCTGTTTCAAAATGGAAAAGTGTTCTATGGTCAGACAAGTCCAAATTTGACATTCTTGTAGGAAGTCATGGATGCCGTGTCCTCCGGGTTAAAGAGGAGGGAGACCTTCCAGCGTGTTATCAGCGTTCAGTTCAAACGCCAGCTAGGCCTGTCGCAATAATCAATATATCGACTTATCGCGCAATATATGTACATGACCTCAATCATTTTTGGTGACACAATATATCGCCCATTATATTTACTTAAAAATGTATGTCACCATGTTTTGTACATTCCACTTGCGCCTGTGTCTTTTGCAGCTTCTCGTACATAACGTGGTGTAGTCATGAGGTGCTAGTTCAAAAAAAAAAACATCACTCATCGGCATGATTCTGTCATTGACATTACTAAATGGGCCCAGGAATACTTCCAGAAACCGATGTCGGTACACACAATCCGCCGTGCCATCTGCAGATGCTAACTAAAGCTCTATCATGCAAAAAGGAAGCCATATGTGAACATGGTCCAGAAGCACCGTCATGTCCTGTGGGCCAAGGCTGATTTAAAATGGTCTGTTTCAAAATGGAAAAGTGTTCTATGGTCAGACAAGTCCAAATTTGACATTCTTGTAGGAAGTCATGGATGCCGTGTCCTCCGGGTTAAAGAGGAGGGAGACCTTCCAGCGTGTTATCAGCGTTCAGTTCAAACGCCAGCTAGGCCTGTCGCAATAATCAATATATCGACTTATCGCGCAATATATGTACATGACCTCAATCATTTTTGGTGACACAATATATCGCCCATTATATTTACTTAAAAATGTATGTCACCATGTTTTGTACATTCCACTTGCGCCTGTGTCTTTTGCAGCTTCTCGTACATAACGTGGTGTAGTCATGAGGTGCTAGTTCAAAAAAAAAAAGAAATGCTTCTACAAAAAAAGTTTCCTCTGCAGATATGGCCTTGTTTAGGGATCTGTGCCTTTGTGCATACTGACATCTGAGTGCTGAGTAGTGATTGTGTTTTTCAGCAATAGTGTGCACCCTTCATTTACAGAGAAAATGTCAGGGAAACATCTGTAGATGGAAAAATCTCCATACAAGTTCTTTCTGCATTTTTCTTTTTTTCTACTTGTTACTTCGCACTTTTTGTTAGAAAATGTTTATTTACTATTTATTCAGGTTTTTTAAGGTATGTAATATTTTGATACTTAATTTCCATGATCTAAATATTCTTAAAAATTTAAAGTTTGTTGTCATTTGGAAGTGTGTAGGCCTTCTTGTATTATTATGCTGTTACATTATGATTATATATTCAGTGGCATAAAATGGTTTTTAAAATGACAATAATATAGCTTATCGCAATTATTTCTGTGGCAATATATCGCACAACAAAAAGTTGTTATCGTGACAGGCCTAACGCCAGCATCTCTGATGGTATGGGGGTGCATAAGTGTATACAGTATGGGCAGCTTGCATGTTTTGGAAGGCACTATGAATGCTGAATGGTGTATATAAAGGTTTTAGAGCAACATATGCTCCCCTCCAGATGATGTCTATTTCAGGGAGGGCCTTGTGTTTTTTTTTTTGCAGGACAATGCAAAACCACATACTGCAGCTAATTCAACAACATGGCTTCGTAGTAGAAGAGTCTGGGTGCTGAATTGGCCTGCTTACAGTCCAGATCTTTCACCTAAAGAGAACCATTTGGCGCATCATTAAACGAAAAATATGTCAAAGACGACCACGGACTCTTCAGCAGCTGGAAACCTATATCAGGCAAAAATGGGACTAAATTCCAACAGCAAAACTCCAGAAACTCATAACCTCGTTGCCCAGACGTCTCCAAACTGTTTTGAAAAGAAGAGGAGATGCTACACCATGGTAAACATGCCCCCGTCCCAACTATTTTGAGACCTGTAGCAGGCATCAAATTTGAAATGAGCTCATTTTGTGCATAAAATTGTAAAATTTCTCAGTTGAAACATTTGTTATGTTCTATTGTGAATAAAATATTGGCTCATGTGATTTGGAATTTCTTTTAGTTTTCATTTTATTCAAAATTAAAAAACGTCCCAACATTTCCGGAACTCGGGTTGTATAACCAAGTTGAATATAATTTATTTATTTGATGATTAAAATGAATTAATGTATTTCACACTTGACTGCACATGATTTGTGAAACTGTTGGAATATTTTAACTGTACTGGATACTTCACTTTGCCATTACATGGTACCTGACCATGTTTGTACATGGCAAATTGAAAAGAGAGTGACACTGACACAATCTCACAAACTCTGATGGAACAGGAAGTAATCACAGAAGAGCCATGTCACAGACAGAGAGAGAAATAGAAAACCGGATGAAGGACATATGGAGGAAGAAAAGAAAAAATATACTTCAAACCTCTTTGTAAGCAAAGACAATTCGTCCATCGCTGTGTAATGTGGCCTGGAAGGTGAAACTTCCTTGATTATAAGAATCCTGAAGATGGACGTGATCCCACTGGACAACCAAAGCAGTTCCTAAGAAACATACGCACATTTACGTAATATTTAAATACGATTTTACATATTAATGAGAATACATTTAATACTTATATTCTCAACTAATAATACAGTTTCAGCTTCTGATCACCACATAACATGACACATTTGATTTATGGCAAGTCAAGTTACAGTGTTTTTGATGGGTGTGTGTATTTGAAGATGGGAAGGTCTGACAGATATATATTGGATATTTCTGTTTCAATATATTTTCCCACTATATATTTCTGTCAGATAGGACACCCTCTGTCTCTCTCACACATACACAAACATACACACACACACACAGCCCAGTGCGTCTGTCTCTTACCATTGTCAAAATAGATGACAGTTGAATTTCTGGAGAGGCTGGGGTCAAAGTTTGCCATAAGTGGAGCGATATATTGTGTTGCTGTCAACATTCGGTGAACCACATCTCCTGTGTAGATGAACCCTGAAAACACACAAACACAAACACACACACAATCTATAAACCTTTACAATACATATTCATAATATCAAATAATAATAAAAATACATTTCAAATCTGATCTTCAGGTTGAAAATAAGATAAAACCACTCAATTTGTTTATGTGAAAAAAAAAAAGTTTTTTGGCACCAATGCATGAACATGTGCTTGTCTTTCTACTCTTAATCTCTCTGGTCTCCTCCTTTCTCATCTATGCGTCCTGGCAAACAGCCCTGGCCTGTCTCCAAAGTGATTAATACTCTAATTAGCCATATAAATGCTTCCTTCCATCCCACTCACAGAAAGGAGAAAGGACCTTCCACACATACACAATCTAAAATGTGTCTTCAGCATTTGTCTGCTTAAATCAATGCAAATCTTTTCACAGGAATTCAGCCAACCTGGACTAAGCTGACCAACTTTGCTTATCCTGTAAACACAGAGCACTTAAAAACTCATTATATTCAATTCAATAAAAATAAAATAAATAAGACAGGGCTCACTATTATTAAGATTGCTATTAACACAAGAAAAGAAAAAAGAAAAACAAATCCTCAAAAATTATTTATTATAGCAATAGTATAGCAATCTGCCCCTAACCATTTTGAACTTGCTGATCAGTAAAGTTGTCCTCGGATATCCAAGAAGTGGACCGCATGGTAACAATTTGAGTGGTCAATGTGCCAGCCCATCCGATCAATATGAGGATACCACATCCAATTTCAATTAAATGTCTATTAAATACCCATTAGGCACTTTATTTCCACTACTCAAATATTTTCTCCAATTTTACTTAAAATAAGTCACTTCCAGCTGATATAATACGGGAACAGAGAGAAGAATGTGATCGGAAATCCACTGTCCTTCCTCTCTGGGTTTCTTTATCAATTTTGTCTGATTGAACGAGGCTACAGAGTTACTACAAAATGCCTTTGCCAACAAGGCAGGCTATTTGCACTTAAAGGGATAGTTCACCCAAAAATGAAAATGAGTCCATTATTTACTCACCCTCAAGGCATCCTAGGTGTATATGACTTCCTTCTTTCAGATGAATCCAATCAGAGTTATATTAAAAATAGTCTTTGATCTTCCAAGTTGTTTAATGGCAGTCAGCGGGTGATGCAGTTCATCAGTTCAAAAGAAGTGAAATAAAGTGCATCCATCCATAATAAAAAGTGCCTCACTCGGCTCCGGGGGTTGAACAAAGGCCTCCTGTAGCGAATCGATGCGTTTTTGTAAGAAAAATAACCATATTTAAAACGTAATAATCACTTTAATCTAGCTTGCACCAACAGTTGTACACGGAAGCAGCTCCGGGCGGATGACGCAAGATGTCGGCGTTACGCATGCGCGGTGAGTCATTGTGAAAACCAACGTTTGTTTACCGGAGCAAAGGAAGCAAAGTTTCCTCACTTTAGCAAAGGAAAACCAGTCTCCTCTTGGCTTATATTGAAATCCTCTGACATTCTTTTTACAAATCCTCGTTTTGTACTTCTAATTCATGACGTTTTTTTTGTTTTGATCTCTCCGCTGTGCTTCCGCGTGCGTCACTTCTGAGCGCATTCGCAACGCCGACCTCATACGTCATCATCCCGGAGCTGCTTCCGTGTACAACAGTGAGCGCAAGCTAGATTCAATTGATTATTACGTGTTAAATATGGTTATTTTTCTTACAAAAACGCATCGATTCACTACATGAGTCCTTTGTTCACCCCCCGGAGCCGTGTGAGGCACTTTTTATTATGGATAGATGTGCTTTATTTCACTTCTTTTGGACTGATGAACTGCATCAAAGACATTTTTTAAATGTAACTCCGTTTTGATTTGTCTGAAAGAAAAAAGTCATATACACCTAGGATGCCTTGAGGGTGAGTAATTCATGGGCTAATTTTCATTTTTGGGTGAACTAGCCCTTTAATGTAAATAGATTTTAATAATTTAGCAAACATTTTCCAGTTCTGTTTATTACAAATTCTTAATGCAGGAAAAGTACCTCTTATACAGAGCATTATTTTTCGCTCCTGAGAACACGGCTTCACTGGGAAATTCAGATCACTTGTGTTTCACCATTTATAACCGCAGAGAGATGACTGATGTAATTATAGGGAGAAATTATATGGCGGTTTTCTGTCTCTATCTTTCCCTCACTCTCACAGCTTCATCTTAGACTCATTCCAACAGCCAGTGTGTCACATGAACCACAAGCATAATAAAAATCCCCACACATATCTCCAGCATGCACGGTCAGCTGTTATTAAGAGGAACCTCTCACACAGCTGATAAACACAGCCTGATTCGCTAGAACACTGTGACTCACAGTCAAGCTCTTATGCCTACAAGCAAGAACCAATCAATTATATATTCCTCTTTAAGCTCATTTGGCTCATATGTTCTCATATAATACTCATATCGCATGAAGGCAGGCAGACGCTCTCTTATAACCTCATCATTGGTTGTGCTGCACACATCACACGCAGGAGGACAGTTTACTTACCACCGGTTGCAACAGTGATCTCTCGCAACAAATGCCCATAAAATGGAAAATCAAAGGAGAGATTGACCCGCTGAGGATGAAGACAAGACAAAGTTTAGCTTGCAATTATAAAAAGATCTAAACAATAAGCAGAATAAATATAAAACTATTAATCAGAGACAGTGAGAGAGAGGCAGTGATTAATTGATTATTACGTGTTAAATATGGTTATTTTTCTTACAAAAACGCATCGATTCACTACATGAGTCCTTTGTTCACCCCCCGGAGCCGTGTGAGGCACTTTTTATTATGGATAGATGTGCTTTATTTCACTTCTTTTGGACTGATGAACTGCATCAAAGACATTTTTTAAATGTAACTCCGTTTTGATTTGTCTGAAAGAAAAAAGTCATATACACCTAGGATGCCTTGAGGGTGAGTAATTCATGGGCTAATTTTCATTTTTGGGTGAACTAGCCCTTTAATGTAAATAGATTTTAATAATTTAGCAAACATTTTCCAGTTCTGTTTATTACAAATTCTTAATGCAGGAAAAGTACCTCTTATACAGAGCATTATTTTTCGCTCCTGAGAACACGGCTTCACTGGGAAATTCAGATCACTTGTGTTTCACCATTTATAACCGCAGAGAGATGACTGATGTAATTATAGGGAGAAATTATATGGCGGTTTTCTGTCTCTATCTTTCCCTCACTCTCACAGCTTCATCTTAGACTCATTCCAACAGCCAGTGTGTCACATGAACCACAAGCATAATAAAAATCCCCACACATATCTCCAGCATGCACGGTCAGCTGTTATTAAGAGGAACCTCTCACACAGCTGATAAACACAGCCTGATTCGCTAGAACACTGTGACTCACAGTCAAGCTCTTATGCCTACAAGCAAGAACCAATCAATTATATATTCCTCTTTAAGCTCATTTGGCTCATATGTTCTCATATAATACTCATATCGCATGAAGGCAGGCAGACGCTCTCTTATAACCTCATCATTGGTTGTGCTGCACACATCACACGCAGGAGGACAGTTTACTTACCACCGGTTGCAACAGTGATCTCTCGCAACAAATGCCCATAAAATGGAAAATCAAAGGAGAGATTGACCCGCTGAGGATGAAGACAAGACAAAGTTTAGCTTGCAATTATAAAAAGATCTAAACAATAAGCAGAATAAATATAAAACTATTAATCAGAGACAGTGAGAGAGAGGCAGTGATTACAATAAAACATATAGCAAGTGTAGATCTATGACAGACTCTATGGACTCATTCTGTGGTCGGCTAAAGCAAACATAACTCTGCTAATAAATTTGACTTCTGTCCTAAATCCATGGTGCGCTTCTCCTCTGCGGTTTCCTTTGTTTGGAAAGTGCAATGTGAGGATATCTCAGTCTGTTCCAGTAATGGGATGGCGAAACACCAAAACCTGATCCCATTTCAGAGAAATGTGGCATTTGCGGATCAACACTCGGTCTGTTACTTTCATAATCCACACAAACAGACAAACCCATCCACAAGCGACAAATAAAAGGATTTTTCTTTCAAAACGCGAACAGTAATTGTTCTTAAATATAGTAATTTCATATAATTTGCATTTTAGAAGATGTGTACTGTTTTCTATTTGTGTAGCAATGATGAATGAATGAATGAATGAATGAATGGATGAATGCTGTCTTACCGCTGCTTGTCGGTGTGTATTGGACAGGATGCCATGAATCTTCACCTTCTCCTTGTCCATCTGATCGATATTTACCCATAATTCTTTGCTCATAGGGTCACTGGGGCCATAAGTCTTTGAGGTGTAGTAGTTATGATCTGTGTCCTCCTGTGGGGAAATACCAGACAGTCAGTCAGGTTAAAGGACACAATACTTACTGTCAAGAAAATCATACAGGAACAGCATGTTCGTGTAAATAACAACAGAAATGTTAACTTTTCTGTGAACTATCACTTTAATAAACACCTCAACACAATTCATTTGTAGCGAATTTAGCTCACAACAGGAAATATGAATAATTAACCATAACTAGTTATGATTAATTATTAATATTTTAGATCCGCTGTAGATATTTAGCTGACCACTCAGGGTCAACTGTCTTGTCAATTCTAAGAACGTTGATTTCCTGGTTAAGGGAAATAACTTTCTTACTGTACAATTCTATAAGCTTGTAACGTAAATCTGCATGATTATTGACTCCGGTTATGAGTAAACAATGAACACGTCAAGTGTGATACAAGTAAGGTTTTATTAACTACATAAACACTTAAACTAGTCTAACATACTACATAAACACATTAAGCCGGTCTAACATACACACACACACACACACACACACATGGAGAAAGCAGCTGAGAGCCGGCTCGCATTCCACAAGGTTGTAAATGTATCGGGTTACCATGAAACCAGGGTCCTGTTCGGCGTCCTGGGGTGTTACAGAGTATTTGTGAAATCTAGCTAACAAAATATATATTGTGTGTTGGAGTGGTCCAGACACTACACATATTTGTTTATGGTAAGCTTTTAGCAACCAAGGGCCACGAGCCCATTCTGATTATCACATCACAAACAAATACCATTTCAGGTCTTCCAGTATTAAAGGGACGTGACATGTGGCCAAGTATGGTGACCCATAATCGGAATTAGTGCTCTGCATTTATCCCATCCAAAGTGCACACACACAGCAGTGAACACACACACACACCGTGAACACACACCCGGAGCAGTGGGCAGCCATTTTTT